CCAGGAAGTTTTTCGTCATTGTTTAAAGCTATTAACTAAGTAATACCAGTTAGGCAAGAAAAAGAGAAAAATAAATGTGAATCTTGAATGGATATTATTTATTTTTAGTTAGTTGTTACGTTCCTAATACTTAGTTACCGAAACAGTTAAGTCATCACAATCGATTGATCACTGGATGGTGATCAATGTCATGCTTGTCTAGTCCTTATTAGTGCAGATCGAATGCTATCGATCATGTTGCAATGTGGCCACCAGTCTAGGTGACTCAACACTGCGGGCACTATGTATTGAGATTTAGATGGTGATAACGTCTCTGACTGTGAAGCTGGGTGACACGAGATCGAATCCGCCAGGGAGCACCAGTTTCCTCAAGATTACAGGTACACCTTGCTGACGAGTACCAAGTAGCACGAAACCCGGGTCCAGGGTTTCCTGTTGACTACCTCCAACCACCATCTAAATCTCAACAGTTAGATCATTTTATTTATATGTGGTCCCTAATTATAATCTATCTCTTTTTACTCAAAAATTGTTTTCATATATTTTATGGTCGGTTAATTACAAACCAATCTGTTGCTCAGCCCTTTTGTAGAAAATTTAACAGTTTCGTATTTATTAAGACCTATTAGTTGTGATGGCTTGTGATTCCATGTTATACTTATACAAACCCTTGATCCTCGAGTTTTAATAGCGATTGTATTAAGGAAACATGACTATTTATCCCACCTTTCGTTACTCTGATAAATAATAAACAATAACCTAGTCCTATTCACTTTAAACTTGCAACATGACGTTGTAAATGTCGTTGTTTTGAATGGAAAGTGAATGAATCCATTTGGATAAGAATACAATGTAGGATTTCATTCAGAAATTCAGAAATGAAAAAAGTTCAAAAGGTGACAATAAACAAAGATGGAGGATGGCTAGCAGTGGAATAGAGAACGCGCCTTTCGTCCGATTTGGGACTTGTCAGCTGGATGTACCTGCATCCCAGAGTTAAAGATCACTCCGGGACTCAAACCCAGTACCGTTCATCTGAAACGCCGTCATGTTATTCACGTAGCTACTTATAAACAATTGTCTACACAAGATAATCAATGTCCATTGGTCGGATACCATCAGCAACAGCCTACTGTGGGAGAGGACAAACCAGCTTCCAGCTGAAGAGGAAATTAGAAAATGATATTGGAATTGGATAGGACACACATTACAGAAATCACCAAACTGCATCACGAGCCAAGCGCTAACTTAGAATCCTGATGGGAAACGGAAAAGTGGAAGGCCGGAGAACACACTACGTCGGGAATTGGGAACAGAAATGAAAAGGACTAATAGCAACTGGAAAGGATTTCCCAGGACAGAGTTGGATGAAGAATCCTGATTGGAGACTTGTGCACCACTACTAAGGTTAACAGGAGTAAGTAAGTGATTAAGTAGGTTCTTAGTCCAGATAACCACTAGCTTGTGCAATGGATCAAAGTTTTAATTCATTTTGTACTGGTTGTCTGAATTTTCTCGTTGATGTTTAGCACTGCGATTGATCAGTCTTTTATTGGCATATGTGCATCCTGTGAGGACTGCCTCGATATTGTCTTACATTACAAGCATTATAAGCAGAGATGGATGGTGGCTAGCAGTGGAATCGAGGCAATCCATACAGAATGCACATATGCCAATAAAAGATTGGTAAGTCACAGTCCTAAACATCAATGGGAAAATTCAAATAAACGATATAAAATGAGTTCAAAAGGTGATTTTAAAATAGCTATTTTTAAAATACCTAATTTTTCAATATGTACACCTATGTCTAGAAGTAATTGTTTTAGGAGAAGTTATCAGTTGTTTTTGCAAATTCAAAAGAATTCGATTCATGACTTGAATACTTTTAGCCAATCAGTCCTCTTGTTAAATTTTTAATAGATTTCGAATTTTGACCTTATCATCTTTCCTAATTTCACTTGACAGAGTATTCAAATTATTGTTAATTTTGACACTATTTGCTCGAGGCTTAAGGTTACTAGTAACCACAGCAACAACGTATGATGACTTTACTTCTTTACTTTAATTCCTCCTTCTAGCTTGTTAACATTTTAAAAATTGTAGGTCGGTGAGAGTTTCTATGCTAACTAGGAAGTTAGTATTTTGTTATGATCAACATATCAGAGGTTAAAACATATTTATGTGAGAAATCAAGGATAATTTTATCACTACAGAATAAATGAAAAGAAAAGAAGCCCATTCATAACTGTGCAGAAAATTTCAAGATTCCACGCCAACTTTTCAAATATTTCATTAGATATAATTATCACGAATATTGAGTCTAGTGTTGTTTAAATTAATTTAAATTCTTGTCAATACAAATGTGCATGGTATCTGTCAAACACAAGCAAAAAGTACTTTATAAGTAAAATATTCAAGTAAAATGTTCATACCATGTATATCAACAGTAAGAAGGAGGGAAAAGTAATAAAGGAATTCAATAAATATTGTCAGAAGCCAGCTAAAAGCACCTAGTGGTTAAATAGACTTTCTTATCATAGGATTTTTACATGAACTGGTGTAAGCTGACTGTTTCATTACCATCCGATATGCGATTTCCCAGATCATGGGAACTAATTACTACTATATTTTAGACAAGAATGAAGGACATCTGTGTCAATAACATTCAAATAATTATACAATTTTAAGAGTTGAATTCATGAGTGGATGTAGGTTAGACTACCACTGAAGAACTGACTTGTTTTAGTATGGGACCCCTCAACAGTGCATACCCACGACCCCGCACACAGGATTCGAAACCAGGACCTTCGGTCTCGCGCGCGAACACTTGACCTGTAGACCACAGAGCCGACATCCAACAGTGTTAATGTCTAATATCAATCGATCCATGAATGGTTGCGCAACCATTCATCTGTTGTCTGAAGTAGCTACCCAACACGGATTGGACGCCACTGGTTACAATTGTCGAGAAATATTTTAACTAGCCTAAACACACCTGTCTGAATATTTAAACAAGATGATACTAATAGACGAGTAAAAAACGGCATGATTTACTGATAACTGGAAGAATATATGTCTGAGATATGAGTTTGTCATCAATTAAAGGCGGTGATTTGTCAAGAAATGATTAGAGGAAAATTAGCTGAAGCCATGAACTGATATTAGTCGGAAAAAAGTATTCAATACTAAAAATAATTATCATCTAAACTATTCAATTGTCAAGATGTTTGACCACAAACAAAATGGAGGCCTAGATATCTAGAATCTATAGTGTGGACGTTATTATCTGTCACTGAGCTAAAATCCTGTGGTCTACATTTCCCAGCTTTAACGAGTTTGTACAGATATTGCGAGCTAAAAACAAGTTTCCTATAACATTTTGACAAACAACGGATATACTACTCAAAGATTAAAAGTATATCGTCATTAAACCATAAGAGTAAAATGACAATTGGTAACTTTGAGAAGTATCATACTTGTACCTATTTAACTTAATGAAAAGAAGCAATACAATAAGACAGAACAAATATCCTAAAGGTTTCAACTGAAGCTCCTTCAAGCTGTGAATTTTCACAAAAAAACTACTTTAGTGAGGACTTTGATGTGATTAACACCCAGCAATTCTTTATCCCTATTTGAATTATGTTCCATAGAATAACTACCACTTAAGACATCATCGGTGGTTCAGTTTATTAAATATGTCTAACATCCCATCGAAACAAATAAGCGAATGTGCTGAAAAATATATAAACATCTAAAAAAGAAATGACATATGATGTCTGATCATTTAATTGAACAAACTCAGAATAGGGTTCTGAGAAAAATTTTGGATTTTTCAATTTCACCGGCTGGGAGTTTCACAAATGTAACTTCATTATTTAATGTTTACCATAAACTCGAAGCTCAATTATTGCAAATTTGTTCGTTCAAGTTAAGGCGAAAGTTCTTGTAAAACACAAACGTGAGGGGAGGCTAACAAAACTAACTAATGAAACTAAAAGTTGAAAGTGCTATGTTCGAGATATTGTCATATCACTCAGTCGCCGGAGAACGTAGCTTAAACCAGCGATGCAATAACAGGACGATGCTAAGCTATTCCTATGCACCCCAACCTGTATAACTAGAAAAACAAGACCAGAGTCAGCAAAGAAAATATGTAATTCCGCAAGCAGCCTAGAAGAATGAATAATAATCACTCGACTCGTAGGTAAAATATACAGTGCAGAAATGTCCTTTAAAAGCGTCACAAAATAGCGTACTAAAAGAGGAAACGAATCAAGGATGTTTAGATCCTTCCAGGTGGGAATCACAACCCGAAGGTAATAATGGGCTCCTTTAGTTCGACAATAAGGAATTTAAGTTTCCACAATTCAATTACAAAAATGAGACGTTTACCAAGTGATTTCTGGTGATCTAGAATACCCAACAGCAATTCTTAGACTTTTGGAGCGAATTTTATTCAACCATATGGATAAATAGCATTTTGGCGTCATAGCCGATGTAGTTCGTGATGAAAACCCTAACTCTAGTTCCTAACCCTAACTTCTAACTCTCAATCCTAATCCTAATCTATAACCCTTTTTGACTCTACTAAGTATATGACTTTTCTCAAGGTCAGTTTAGAGTCACTCTATGGTCGTCCATAACTTAAAGTTTCATTAGTTATATTCGCCTTGGCTAATATTATATAGTTCATATTGTCCCTACAGTATTGGTGGAATTATTAAAGGTGGCATTATATATCCTCATATGGCCTCCAAATGTGTTACGTCTTAGTTTGAACTTGTCACTCAATTTTTTTCTAATGAATAATTATCGAACATAAATGAACTGAAACAATCAGCAATCATCAGCATTTAAGCTACTATTGGACAATACCAAATCAATTAATAAATTCACATTTTCTTCCAATCAGTTTCAGGATTAAATTTGTTGTCTGATTGGATGATTTTAAATATATCGATCTAAGAAAGGAAATAATTTTTCCGATTAAATTTGCGGGATTTTAGTCACAGCCAAAAATAGACAATTCTTACTGATTATCCGTTAAAAGAATGAAGATAATACTTTACACCTTGATATGTTTTATATGTGGTTTTACCTTGTTTCTATGCTTAATATTTCACCAATGGTTATCATTTTCTGTTGTCAATAGCCCAATGTTCCGCCCTAGAATTGATTCGGAACTTGCATTATTCATTACAAATGAATTATCTCGACTATTAAATCCAGACATTCCAACAGTGGAAGACGTCGGTGATACTGTAGAGAGAGCTTGGTTTAAACATGAAAAAGAATTTTGCCTAAAAGGTATGTTTTGTTTTTGGTAATTTAATGCTCTGATCACAAGATTATCTTTCAGTTGTGTGATTGATAGAGATTACGTGAAATTAGTGATGGACTGGAAACAGTAAGAAAATCTTCAAGAGCTTTACCTTCAAATGTAACTAGTATCCATAAGTCACCTCACCGAACAATAATCCAATACTCACTTATGAATAACCTCAAGACAAATTTACTGAATTACTAGAGTTTTAGTGAAAGATCGAGTTTATCAATGTCAGGCATGAGGAAGTCACTCAGTATCAATATTGGTCTTTGACCACACCACATCAGTAATCGACTAAAAGTGAGAATGTGAACAGTTTATCCCTGTTCTATCTCTCGATGATATCGTTCGCGTTTATGGGGCTTGAATGTTTTAAGTTCTCGTGGGGTCTTAGAGGGGATCAGGAAGAGTTCCAATCTAAGATGGAAACCATTATTTTATACCCTCATTCCCCAGTTTTCCAACCAATATCAAGTTCGTGGTGAAAGCTATCTTTATGTCTAGTAAAACTTTAACAAATCACATTGCAAAGTGAGAAAGACGTCTAAATATTTTTCGATCAGCTTTGTTTCCAACTAGAGGAAACTTGCTATCAATTTAGTATATCAAGCTATTGACCAACCAAACTATTACACAAGAAATATAGCTTATTAGTTCGAATAAATAATCTTTTTACGGTTGTTTTTGCTCACTAGTTTTGAATGGTACTCATCAGTTGTTCAACAGTGAGGGATGTCGAAATAGTTGTCTTATTTCAAATCAACCATATACTCGACGTAATATCATTATTATACCATATCGAAATCGTGCAGAACACTTGATGAAATTAATTCCACGTCTGGTTGAATTACTGACAAAACAGAATCTATGTTATTTGTTAATTGTTTCTGAACAGGTATGTTTCTGAATAAGTAATTATCATTATTATTTAAATAATACTAATAATCTTATTACTTATTGAGCCATGCCAGTTTGATGTGATACCCCTGTTTCAGTAACAACCAGTAACCGTATGATTTCATAAACTTTCATACAGGAGTATCGTTAAAACGATCCAAAGTTATTTAGTACCATATAATTTTATTTTAAAATCGAAATTGTCCTTTATGATGAGAACATTATCTTTTGAATTCAGACTTGATGATTGTATGCAAACCTTTATGATCATAAGGACGGCATTGTGCCAATAACTGTTTTCGAATATTAAAGTAAACATTTATGTAGATATTTCAGTGATAAGTTATTTTTTATCACAAACTACTTGCAATTAAAGAACTACTAGAAACCACAGAGTACTGAGCAGCTCTCTTGTTTGAAACCAACACTCTCTAGTAATGAGCACTAATAACCACACAGGTGTTTGAGACAGAACAAAAATGAAATGAGTATCCTAAGATTTTATTCATAGTAATAGTCTGATAGTATTCAGGTGCAGAGACCTAATTAACTTCTAGTTTCCAGTGAGTCTTGTGGAGTCGAATATTCGTTTTCACTTGAGTTTGATTTATCAAGAGTTTATCTCAAAGCTAAGAGTGAATCCAATTCTCATTATCCCACATACACTTTATTAGATTTTAAATTATAAAATTCTCTTAAATTGTTTATTTCTACATTGTATTCTCTAATAAAAATTTTGAGGTTTGCATTTACCACTGGTTTTCTGTCATATCTGAACCTATTCGAACCATTCGTTTCCACTATCTTCTGAAAATAATTATCCCTCTTCACAGATTGATCAACAGCCATTTAATAAGGGAATAGTCATGAATACTGCATTTGTGGAAGCATTGAATTGGTTGCCGTTTCATTGTGCAATATTTCATGATGTTGATCTAATACCAATGAACAATGAAGTTGATTATACATGCTCAATCTATCCTAAACATATCAGTGTAAGCGTAGATAAATTTCAAAACAGGTACCTACTATTGCTATTATTATTCTCACTATTATTATTATTATTATTATTATTATTATTATTATTATTATTATTATTATTATTATTATTATTATTATTATTATTATTATTATTTATCCTCTAACTGATTGAATGGGCCGTGGAAACTTGAACCGATATACACATACCAGGTTCTAGTTTACGTATGACTGGGTGAATTGATTGATTAATAAAGATTTTATCAGAATCAATGACAATTATTCACTACAAACACAGGTTGAGATAGACAAAGAGGTTTTATACTCTACAGAACGAATCATTATTACACATGCTTTTTCATTCAACAGTTATCAGGTTGTCAGCTGATACCAATCAACTTTCCGTACTGTATATCAACTATAAAACAAGAAAAATGATTGAATGAAGGAAAAACCTTTACCATATAAAATTAGTTCATTATTTATGGCGCATATAGTTATACCTGTCTTCACCCACCGTGTGTCCTCTTGAAGTTGTCATCGGTGAATATACAATTATAAATCAATTATATGATTTATAAAGATCTGTTCAATTTTGAAGTAATTTAAAACTATGGACTGATGTTCAAACACCTACGACCACATACAAATGCATATCGCTGTGAAGTTTTCAATAGTCTTTCAGCAAAACAATTTAGGATATAATCTGTCTTTTAAATTGAAAACTCACCTACAATCAACTCAAGACATTACTTAATTCGAATGTTTTAAATAATTCAAAAATTGTGTATTTTCTCGGCTAAGTCCTCGTTTTGTTTTGTTTTATATTTTTTTGAAAGGCTCCCTTACATTGAACTAATTGGTGGTGTTTTATCCATTCCACTTAAAGCCTTTCTTCGTGTCAATGGGTATTCTAATTTATTTTGGGGTTGGGGTGCAGAGGACGATGATGTGTATGAGAGGTGAGTGCTTTTTATTCAGATCAATAATTAATTATGCTTAGTCGTTGTATGTGTTTGTACGTAAGAACGAGTTTTTTACAAATTAAATACAATTGCGATTGGTTACATTAATAAAAACATAGATGAGTAATGTATACAAGTCTGGTTGTATAAGTAGTTAAACCTCTTGACTTTTCTGTATTAAATGGGTCAACTTACAAATGATGATGCGGATCTTCTTGTTGTTACGATTCATATACATAGTTAACTCAATAACTCAAGCTAACATAGATTCAAGGTTATCTACCAGATTTACTGAAGTACCAGCAATGAGACATTTAATTCAATTATGATAGAATCAACTAGGAGCTGGAGACTGACATGAGATTGTCCAAATTTCATAGGTCTACATGTGATTCAATAGTGGTTTAACATTGATCGATTCATGATCTTAATCAAGAAATCAACAATCTCCACAACCTTATACCGATAAAGAGAAAAGAAACGTATTCATAATGATGAATGATATATTGTCAAAAACATTGTGTTAAATGAAAAAGCCTTATTGATGCTGTTATGATTTATTTGAAATAATACATCAACCAGACAAACGTATGTGCAAATGCATCGTAATTTGACTGTTATACTTAAATTCATGAAGATTCAATGATTTCCTTAAGAAATGGAATACAACTTAAAGATAAATTTTAAAATTCTAATTTTCTGTTTTATTTCATGTTATACTGCTTTTATTCAGCCATTAAAATATTTTTTTACAGGCTTATGATAAATGAAATTCCTGTCATACGTCCTGATCCAAATGTAGCACAATTCACAATGCTCAAACATAAACCAAGTCTTGCATTTCATTCAGCCTTAAGGTATGTTTTAAATATTAGCATGAAATTAAGTATTTTTGTCAATGAACGAACCCAAAGCATAAATCATGAACAAATTAATACAGTGTTCATCTTAAAAGTCCAATTACTTTACGATCTACAATGAATCAACCACATGATCCACCCTTAATTCCAACTTCCAACGAATGGTTAACCCAACTAAAATGGGTAAACAGGACAGTTCTATTAGGAAGTTATATTGTTCATCAATAATACCTTTTCTGTATATATAGATATTCGATAGTACTAATGTAAACTTAGATCTTTTAGCACATCGAATGATTCTTCCTTCTACCGTAATTTTACATTTGTATTTTTATCGACAGAGCATTTTACATTATAGCTGATGTCATTTTGTGATAAAAAAAACCAAACTCTGGATCCTTAATTCTAGCCCAAAGTGTCTAACCGTAACTAGAACCAATATAGAAACTCTTAAAAACTTGTTTCAGTCTTTGAAAGGGTTCGAGGATATGGATAAGGTATATCCATTATGATGAGTTTATATCACTATCTTCGATTTATGGGCAGAATAACTTGTAGAAGGTAATAATAGACTTGATAGTTGTGTACTATCCGTTTACATTTTGCAATATTATTTTCTCACTCACAAACTATCCATCTATAAAGGCTGCCCTGTGATTGTTTGGAAACTATCTGGAAAGTCATCACGGTTATTTTAAACTCGTCTCTACACAATATTGTCACCGATTTTAGACTCGTTATAAATTTGGCGCATGAGAGTGAGAATTTACATTGTACAATAAAATAATTCAAGATTTTAATGGTATACCTCGCAATATATTGTATGCATATGTCAAAAATTATTCTCATTTTGGTAAATTACTAGATATCATTTTCATGTAATACTTTCTATTTCATCTCAGAACTCAAATATTATCCTTCACAAAAGTCAGATATCGTCTTGATGGAATCAATAGTTTAAATTACACACTTGTTAAATCACAAATAAAATTATATAATCAATTCCACAGTTTAACATATAACGATGAAGTAACTAAAACACATTTTTCACATGAAAACAACACTTTCAGATCAAATTCAAAATTAAATTATCCAATTTTGCATTTAAAAATCGATGTTGGTAAGCCTCCAGTTGAGTTTATTAAGGAAGATAATTCTACATAAGAAAACCAAGTCGGTACGTAGAGAAAAAAAATATTTTTGTAACTTGAATTTTCGTTTGGTTACAAACACAATTATACAATCGAGTAATTAAATGCAAATAATGAACAACAGTGAGACACTGACAAATTACAGATTATGGATGAAAACCGCACGAACTACAGGATCAGTCATTTCTATACTGATCGTAAGTACATATGTGTCGATCCTTTGTCAATCAATAGGATTACAATGAGCCGATAACCGACGAGGCCAGCCAATCGTGATTTAGCCATTTTGACAACATAATGAAGAGTCAACTACTTTTCGGGAGAACGATTGTAAAAACCTCCAAACTCATTGGATTTAATCTGCGATGGTGAAATATTACTCATTATTACTGATTATGATGATGATACCTAAGACGTTTATGGCGATGACGACTAGCCTCATGGACCGAATCACGGGATTATTAAAAATAAACATTACTGGTTAATATGCATAATTCATAGAATTTGTTCCTTAGTCAAACTTAAAGCAAGAATAGCTACATTTATTGTCGTTCTCGCTTTCATTAAAAAATATGTACACATTAAAATAAGAAAAAACCAAGAAATACAAGTGCACAATATTTAGTGTAATGAAGCATAAGTGTATTTCATACATGATTTCATGTTAGCTATCCTTTTCTTTTTGTCTCAAGATTTTATGCAACGTAACGAACATGAATATCAATGTATTCACTACATAATAAATTGTGGAGTCTTATCAACATTGAAGTAATTATCAATTTCCAAGACATTTGGTTGCTTTTCATTTAGTTTAATTTGTTCTTAAATTTCTATTAGTGGAATCAAGTTACATGAAACTGTGAAATGAAGTCCTATTTTGTAGATCCTATATATATATATATATATAGTTTCAAATCGCACTTTGCAATACCTTTGCGACTATCTACCTCATAAATTAAGCGATATATTTGTACCACTGATGTTTCATGAACCGATTGTCTTTGATAAATGTAAACCATTATCATAAACCAAACTGGTGAATAAATTGTCCTGATTTTATGATATGTCAATTGTTATTTCCGTGTGCCCATACAAACCGAGAGATGCATAAAAGTTATCTTGATAGTCAGTCTCCCAAGCCATCAGTACTCAATCATATCATTTGATGTAGTGTCAGAGAAGGGGCATATACTTATCGATAAGGTTTGATGAGAACTAAAGTACTTTGTTATTGTATTTGATACTGGTGGCAAAAATGCCATAACTTGTACATATCTGTCAACCCTCATGAAGAACTAAATACATAGAAGAAAACATCTCTAACACAATCCTAGATATTATGGATACTGAAGATAATAATCAACAAAATACCAGAAATTTTGCTGCCATATGGTCAAAATCACTTAAAGATTATTTGCATCGTGACAGTTATTGCTCGCGGTTCGACAATTTACGTTAAAACCATGAGGGTACTAAATCTTAGTAGGTCAATTTCATTTTAATCGGAATAAAATGTCGAGTTATATTCAAGTTACGACACCTAGCAGAAGTAAGTAATTAAAAAAAATGTTAGGATAAAGAACATGTAAAGTGAGCAGCTATTCTTTCGTGAGTTTACGTGTTTTTGATGGACAATTATTTCATGGTATCTTTATAAAATCCCAGTCTTTTAATTAATTAACTGTTACTATGTGATCACCGTTCACGTAAATTACAGTTTTTAATCATTCTGATGTTTTGACTGGGAATTTGCATGACCTGTCAATGGTGCAAACAAGTACGCTAACGTATGTGATGGATTCAACGTCAATATTATCGACAAAACGAAAATAAGATAACCTATGTTTATGTTATTTGTGACATTCACTCTCTAAACTCTGTTATTCATATTGGAGTTTAGTGATTGACTTGTGAATCACTTGATCAGTTCTCTAACATCTGAGCTATTACTGATTATCAACCCTATATCGATAACAGTCTGCTACCATAGATTACAGTAAATAGTTTGGTGACAGGCTAATCCCTTCATCATATCATTTATATATGATTGATACAAGCCGTAATTGGGTAATGTGATCAAATGTTAACAATAACTCTTGTTTTGTCAACAGTTAGGTGTAGTACTAGATAACTGAAATGAAGCTAATAATAGAGATTAAGAGTCTAAACAATTTATTCATCGTTACGCGGTTAACGGGATTTTGGCGAGCAGATGAAGTTGATTTTAATTTCAATTCTGTGTAGCATGTTCGAGTAGATTACACTAATAACCAAGTGTATTAACAGTCAAAATATTTTGAAAAATAACCTGAAATCTGGAAAATCAAAATAGCATTATTCGTAACTAAAAAAATGACCAAAATCATTTGGGAATTTTAGAATTTCACTACGCTAATAATCAACAAACAAACAATCGCTCTACTAAGAATAGCTAGGAAGTTAACAAAGGACAGCAATTAAATTACTGTAAAAATGGAGAAAATACTGGGATAAGAACAGCTGCTTAACATACATAACAAAAACAAATACTTGAGGCTACACATCAACAAGATTTATCGTCATTTTGATGTTGAACTCCATTGATTTATTTTACAGACATATAACCCCATCTTCTTAATTACACTAAGAAATCATTCTGTATAGACGATTGTTTTCGTGATACTTACCGTCCAATATTCATCTTATTTGTGACAATAACGCTTATTCTACAGTAACTAATGGTTTATTCCTTATACCATGAAGGTAGAAATAGAATAAAGGAGATTTTTAATACACTTTTTACTTGTTTATTCAAAATAGATCTTCTACGTAGTAGAATACAATAGGTTTATTAATTATATTCAGTCAGGAATCGAGTTCTGAATCCCAACCTCCATAGTACAAGGACAACAAACACTAGTATAGAATGTCTGGACCAAATAAAAAACAAGCATAAAATAAGTCTTACTTACGAGCAATAATCCCAAATACTAACCAGTCGACGTTATTTGTAGATTTATGTCATTATATAGTAAAAGGTATATTTAAATATGGGATACAGCCTCAATATAACTTCCTAATAAAACACGTTTTATATTAAATAGTTAGGGGGTACATAAAGTTGTCCTCATCTCATAAACTTCGTGTTAAGGATTTTTAAAACGGTACAGAGCTATAAATGCTCAAATCTATGATGAAGCATATGAGATATCTTTTTAACTACTTCCAACCCCTGACAGATACAGTTACTTCTTACTTACTGACAATTACATACAACCCAATATATTATCAAACTACTTACTTCGGTGGTAACACGTCTAAATTTGACCAACTAAAGTACGAGACAATCATTTAATGATTGATTAGTCGAATTTGACCTATGTTCAGCAGTTATCCACCAAAGACAATAGAAAATGGTCATGCAATATTGTAGATTGATTGAGGTTAGACATTAACACCATTAAATGTCAGTTCAGTAATTCAAAGGTTAAGCATTCATGTGGGAAACCAAATGACCTGGGATCATGAATACACACTGCTGAAGAGTACCACACTAGGATGAAACGACCGCCCAGCACTTTCAGGTTTTTAATAGTGATTTAACTTACATCGATTCATGAAACTAAATACAAATTAAGTATTGGTTTTATTTCACAAATTAGTGATAGAAATAAGCAAAAGAATACAGTAAAATATCCAAGGAGAAGTTAATTCATTACATGAAATAACTAGTTTTGTGAAAAGATATACATGGTAAGTAGAATAATTGTTTTGGAGTGTTAAGAAGGTGTAGTTCAAAATATCTTTGAAAAAATGGTAATGATGAAGTTGGCAATCAGTTAAATTATTAGAAATTGGAACTACGAACAGATGTAAATGCAATCCTACATAAAAACAGAATCACCTGTTGGCCTCCTAGTAAAAACAATGGGAAGAGACAACAGCCTATCAAAATCCTTTACTGAACAGCAGTTGTAGTCATTGTACTCACTGATGCATCTACATAAGATCGACTATTATCTGAATTCAATTCATTACTTGTTGAATTTAACCAAATTCTCGGTATCCAAAATGCTTCTGTTTCAATACGGTAAGCCATTTCGGATAATTGTTCCAATGCCACTGGTAAATCATCATTAATTAAAACAAAATCCCATAAATGGCCATGCGTTACTTCGAGACGAGATGCTGTTTGAATCATTTCATGAAAGTGTGTTTCCTGTATAAATAATAAACAAAATAGTCAATATTAACTCAAGTAATTTATTCATAAAACTAAAGTGTTTTGCTAAATCACTACATCGTTCCATACAACAATCAACCAACGATTTGACTGACCTTTCTAAAAGAAACTCCCGATTCAAATCCAAATATAATAGTTACCATTATCATGTTATCTAAACAATAATCCTGACTGACTCCCATCATTCAATTTCTAATTTGACCTCCACGTTGAGTGATTCTGCTTCATGGTGTATTTCAATAGATGTTAGGTATTTAGAGATAACTAACAAGATACCCTTAGTTTAGGTTTTATGATAATTGATATTCATCAGGAGGGAGCGTCTGGAATCTTCGAGACAATATACACCCCCAGTTAGATATGAAGTATTACCACCAAATGTCGAATTTGAGGGCGTTACCACTGAATTCGTTCACGAATGAAAATTATACATGGCAATAATTACAGCCGACTGAATAATTTCGTGTGTAAATTTCATTTTAGAAAACGTTCAGTATCTTAATTAGTATAATGTTATCATCTCTAGCTGTAGCATGGGGTTTGAAATTCACGAAGATATCAGTTTCTGTAAGATCATAACTGTTATATCCTAGCGAAGATTAAATTACGAGTAACTATTAATGGGCTAAGATTATGTATATATAGTTATTGTTATTGTATAACTATTCAGTAACTAGATTGCGTATATCTACATTCACCTTATTATAAGTTTCATTTCGACTTATAGATTATTATTATACGATTTGCTGTTTTTAAGTTATGTTCAGCCTATTGATTACAGTCACCCACACAGCCACTTTTGGACTTGATCTTGTATAAATGTTATTTCCTATTTTATGGTGCGATGCGGTCTGTTTAGCTGGTATTTAAACCAAGTATGTTTGAGATAAATGATTCGCATGGTAGAATCTGTTTGTTGGCGTTCTGGACTGAGCTGGACGGGCTAGACGAACAAGGGACCAATAGGACACTGGGCTGCTCATACCAGTCGAACGTCATTGGTTCGGCATAGTACTGAGATTGAATAAGTCATATTTCGATTGAAGGATAAATCATGTGATAACTAGCCGGCCTTAAAGTCACAGCAACAACTGTGTTATCCTAATATGAGTGTTATTCATTATTATTATTATTATTATTATTATTATTATTATTATTATTATTATTATTATTATTATTATTATTATCAATATTATCATCTTCCAGTTAAATATTTATCATTTCCCTCTTCTTATTTATACTCTTTTAAAAACCTGTAATACTTTACTTTCTTCTTGTCTCCTTTAGATCACCTTGTGTGCATTGATCTTTGTTTGTCTTGAACAATTTATCGATTTTTTAAACATCGTGCCTAATTTTCTTCCGAAATAGTGATATATTAGTTTTCGATCCATTTTATTTGCTATGGTTTATATTATTACTGTCATTATTGTTTATACGGTTCAAAGAAACGTTTTTTCTTTGATTGTACCTTCGACAGTGAAAATGACATGAGGATTTATCAATTACTAAATATTTTTCGGTTTCCAATAGTTCTTCGGCTGATATTAATTCGTGCTGAAAATCACTTTATTGCTAAAAATAAATACGAAAAGATAATAATAATAATAATAATAATAATAATAATAATAATAATAATAATAATAATAATAATTCACTTACAGCCAATGACATTTTTTTTTGTATCTCCGTAGCCAGTATATTATCCAAAGACGATGACGCTGATAATGATGGCGCTGAGGACATTGTGTTTTTCTTCTCTTGTCCCAATTCACTGGAGACTTTCCTCCATTGTTGACAGTTCCTTACAGGTGTAAAACAACCATTAATAGTA